GAATATGAATATCCTTTCTGTATCACTTTCATCTTCTCTTATATGATATAGCCCACCCACTTCCTGTTTTAAGTCTTCCCCTAGCCAGCACAGCTGCCACTTTCTGCAGGATAGGGTCTCTCTCTCCTGGCTTCAGAGAAACCCCAGCGGTCTCAGCAGCCAGAGGCCTGGAGGACAGCATCTAACATATGAAGTTCTGCTGCACCAAATCTTCCAGCCTTGTAAAGATATTTCTTACAGCATCTGCTGGTCTAATCTGTCTGTAGTGCATCACCAAAATATCCAAGACTCAGAACAATCCACATTCAACAATGGGTCCTCTCTGCAAATTGCTGCAACTGTTGGCTGCTCTGTTGGCTGAGCTCTGCGATCAGCTCTCAAACAGTTCTCTCCCAGGCAGCAGCTGAAGGGTGCTTGACCTTTCCTAATCATGGGACTGCTACAGGAAAGGATCCAGGCACTCTAGGTCAAGGGCAGCTAATTACACGCACTTCAAGCTGCCGGAACTTCCTTCCACCCACACCGCTATATCTCTGCTTTCTTTGTCGTTGCCTGAAAGCAGTAGGCACACAAGATTTTTGGAAGGTTTGCCAGGCATCCTCCTGGCTTGAACCTTGTGGTCCTGAATTTCAAAGCAATGCCAAAGACTGCTGTGTTAACTGCTGCTTGTTTCTGGGAGTTTCTGTCATTTTGACTGTACCTTTCCCATGTAAAGGTATGTGTCAAGCTAGTATAAATATATTTTGTCCATTTCTCCTTCTTTTTTTAGACTGTGTTCTTATTTGCCTATTTAAGTCTTACTTTTGCGTCCTTCAGATGACTCACTTGGTGTTCACATCTGCCTCAAAGTCATAACTTGAGTTTATTATTATTTACAAGGATAAATCTTATTCAGGACCCTTCCTGCTAGCTCCACACTGGCAAGTGCAAGTCACATTTCTAGTGGTGTCTAAGGTCTGAGACACATATCCCCTTAATGGGTATCTTGACTGTTTTCCAACCACATAAATACACCCTTTTTTTTTTTTTTTAACTGGATCCTAGCAGATCTGCAGAATGTCTCTTTAGCAACTCCTTTTATTAGATGATTAAATTAAATTATCTCAACTTAATTAAGAAATAAAGGTTTTGCAGTCACCCAGCCTATCCCTGATTTCATCTTCCTTCCTGTTTCTCTGTCTGTCCATGCATGTAACTCTTAAGGTCCACTGTAGAAAAAGCAAAGTTAATTACTGTCCTGTAATTCGAGTAGAAGAAAGAAATTAATGCCAGTCTTGAGGAGAGGAAGGCTGAAATTGTGTACTTTGCATTTGTCAACAGCTAGCTAAATATACACGTCTGACTTGGCATGGCATTTTTATCTCTTCTTCAGAACGGAGACCATTGTAAGTTACATGGGGAGAATTCAAGTATGTACCATAGGAAAGGTTAGGAATGAAAGCCAACAACATTGCAGAAGGCCAAGCTTCATCACTTTAAGGGGCAAATAGCTTGCAATGCTTTTTATAGTATTTGGTGTACTATTGGTAATTTCACTTGTGTTGTATGTAACACTTGTTCTTCTCATATAGGCTGTTACATTTTTTAGCAGCTTTTGTTAGTGGTAGCAAATTTGATAACTTAAAATTTTTGATCTGTGTTAAAATCTTTTTCAAGTTTGTCTTTCCTTTGAAAAATGAATATATGAATGAGTATGCCAGGCATTCTAGTTAACTGACTTAACAGAGTTATATTAGAGATAATAATTTTTCTAACCTTAAAGATTAACAGCTCTGTCTTTATTTAGAAGGTTATGATACATTGCACAGGTTTTATACTCCTCTTAATGCCTCTGTATAAAGATGTGTGGCACTATCCTGTACAGAATCCAAACAGAATCATCAATCAGATTCCATATCATCAGAAAAGAAAACAACAGGAAACTCATAAATCACAATGTTTTACTGCACTGGAGTACACTGTGGATCAATAGCACCTTGATTAAATCATATACTCTTGCTCTTCTATATCAAAAAATAACACAGCCAGTTTAGACAATTCTGCTCCCTTTTTGAACACTCTCACCTTTTCCAGATTTCCTGACCGAATGTGGATTAAAGATTGCTCAACACACTATGAAATTGCTTTTCTTTCCAAATTTATCTGGCATGTGCTAAACTAATTTATGAAAACTGTGGATAGAATCTTAGAATCACAGAATGGTTTGGGTTGGAAGGGGCTTTTAAGATCATGTACTTCCAACACCCTGCTATAGGTCACCTCCCTCTAGACCAGATTGGTCGAAGCCCCATCGAGCCTGTCCTTGAACAACTCCAGGGGAGGAGCATTCACAGTTTTGCTGGGCAACCTGTTCCAGTGTCTCACCACCCTAACAGTAACAAATTTAGTCCTAATATCTAGTTTAATCTACCCTCTTCCAGTTTAAAGCCATTTCCCCTTATCCTGTCACTATACGTGCTTATAAGACATCCCTCCCAGCTTTCCTGTAGGCCTCTGTCAGGTACTGGTTGGTCACTGTAAGGTTTACTCAGAGCCTTCTCTTCTCCAGGCTGAAAAGCCCCAGTTCTCTCAGCCTCACAGGGAGGGTGCTCCAGCCCTCTGATCATCTTCATGGCCCTCCTCTGAACCGACTCCAACAACCCCAGGTCCTTCTTGTGTTGGGGGCTCCTAGACCTAGTACTCATGAGAGCAGAGTAAAAGGGCAGAATTGCCTCCCTCAACCTGCTGGCCATGCTTCTCTCGATACAACTCATATCTGTACTTCCAATATTGCTATTCTACCAAGTAGTGACAATTTCTGTAGTTGTTACTCTTGACAGAAGGGATATTTTAAATAGGTAAATGAAATCCTGGATTGGTTTCAGTGCATTAATTTAATATTCAATAATGTCTCCTTTAGCAGATAACAAGCCACACTACTTCATGAATATTCTCCAGTGAAATGCAGTCCAGAAAAAGCTTAACTAGATTAAAATTCAAAAATTAAAGCAACGGAGTGATGGTATTTTCAAGAGGTGGCAAACAGGATCATTGAATGGGAAGAAGACCAATGAAATACACTCCCAGTAATGCAGTATACAAGAGACAGTGAAACAAAGGAGCATTCAATTTTTACAGTTTTACCAAACCAGCTTTCGCACAGCTGATAATACTGTTTCACATAATTTGAAGAAAACAGCAAAATTTTTATGGGAGTGATATAGTTTACATGTTCATATTATGACTAGTTAAGTGGAGAATGAGAGAAAAAGAAAAGATGCACTTTGCTTGTGTTCTTTTGAAGCCTTTGCTATACATCTTCTCTATGACTTGCTCTTCCATTGTCTAGCTATGTAACGCATTGAGCAATACTGATAAGAAATTCAAGTTGTCCTTCATAGATTATTAACAAAGAGTGTGACATACACTTTTGCTGTGGATATGTACCTGCTAAGACCACATCAGACTGACTGTAAGAAATAGCACAATCTTATTTGATCAGTTAGGATCAAAAAGGAAGAGATATGATCTTTCCATTCCCTTAGGAAGCTGAATTAAATGCCATGGATGCCAACCTTAACTTTTACATCACAGTCATTAATTTCCCTAGTTCCCTGCTTTACCAAGAATGCAGAAAAAAAGTATGTTCCACGGCTAATGCAAATATTGTGAAGGGTATTTCCTTCCTGGATGCTTGAGGAAATCATTGCTGTGAGGATGCTTCATTGAATTGTTTTCTTTGCAGGAATGGTTGAGCTAAGTTGAAAAAAGTCCCAGTTTGACGGGAAAGCAGGTAGAAGAGGAATAAAGGCACCATAGCACCATGGAAGTAATTCAGAGACTTTATCTCATGAAACCAAATTCAACTGGTTATTATAAACAAGATAAATCAGCCCAGTACTTTAACAAGGGAGTTAATGACTAGCTGGGTTTAATAAACCTTCATAATTTTGATTGGTATTGGAAACAGACCTGGATTTGAAAATCTGATAGTAATTTCTCATACTTTAGACCTGAATAACATGAAAGCAGTATTGAAACAATAGTAATTTCTGTTGAAAGATTTCAGGTCCAAATACAATTTACAGTATTTCGTGATAAATGTAGGAAAATGCAGAATACAGAAATACAAAATACAGAATAATTAAATATGAAGTTACATTAGATTTTTTATCTTTTTTTTTTTTTTCCTTTTTTTTTTACTTTGCTGCAAACTGCTAGACATGATAACTGAAAATACCAAGTTTTCCTTGTTTCTCACAGTTTGGATGAAAGTGGACAGTTAATGCATGCTTCAGGTTCCAGTTAGTTTCTTCCTTTGGTTTTCCAGTGTTCTCTTAGAGTAAGACATGACTGCACATGGTACTTTGTGTGTAGCTTTAATATTTTATTCATAAAGTGAGGGGAAATACTTCACAGCATAAGCCAAACTCTCAGTGCAAGCATTTCAGAGAAGTAAGGAAACCCTTCTTTTCCTGCCTCTCTGTGGCCACGCGTCATCCCAACACCATGCCCTACGTCAGCCAGTGTGATGTGGGTGAGGTTGGCACAGCAACAGCACACTCTTGGTTACACTCCCCTATAACTACACCAGCGTGAGTCAATTCAAAAGTTTTACTAGGTTTTTATTAGTCTGTGATGCACTGCCCAGTCATCTGCAGTTACTTGCCTGGCCAGTGCTCACAAACGTGCTAGTAAGCTTTAATATAATCTTTCAGTATTTTCAAGTTTGTCCTTTGGGATAAAATCTCTTCAGGTCTGTTCCATGCAGTCCTGTGTAGAAACTGGCTGGTTCATCAGCCATCCCATATGTATTGAACGATTGGACAATGACTGATTTGGTATTTGCTTTTCAAAACAATCTGTGAAGCAGCATCAGTAACTGTTGAACAGTAAACCTGGAGATACCCCCAGTGCATTGTAAAACCTTATTTTCTTTCTGTTAAAGCAGTAGCAGGGAGATTAGTTAGTTTTATTAGTTTTCACTAATATCTAACTTACAACTCTGCTTGTTTTTTCAGACATGGAGATGACTTGATTGTGACACCATTTGCTCAGGTAGGCACAGTTTTGCCTTGTTCCTCATATGATCGTGCAACTCAAGAAGGCCAAACCAGTTCTTCTCCACTCTTAATATTATATAAGACTTGTTTGCTTGAAAAAGGAAAAAAATCACTTATCTGAACAAAAACTTATAAAGATTTCACTCTGTGAAATCTATACTTACACACTCACGTCATGTTGTTAACATGCAAAATTTGTTACATTCATCCAACTTCCTTCAGCAGAGAATGTCTATACCACTTATATTAAGACATTTCTCTGCTGCCTACTTTAGCTGCTGTCTTTCATTAAAAAAGTTCAGGAAGCAAGTACTCCATTTATATTGTCTTTCACAGTATGCAAGTCCTGTAGTTTTGGGCCTGCATACATTTTTCACCTGCTCTAATAATACCTTCCTCCTAATGTGTCCTGTACTAAGTACCCAAATGAATCAGGCTCCTTAAGGGAGCCACTTTTATTTTCTTTGTCTGTCTAAACAATTTCATTCTCTTTGTCATTTGAGATTTGTGGGGGCTGAACAGCAAACGGAAAAATATGTAATCATTTCTTATGTATGAAGTATTAGGCTTGAATGGACTATTATCATCCAAACACGAATGCTTTTATGGTCATTTTAGAGAACTAAATAATATTCTGTGAAAAACTTCCCTCCTCTTCAGCTAAGTCTGTCTTTAAACAAATAATGAATTGGTTATTAGAGAACAAAAAAAAATCAACTATTGGCCTTTTATTACAGACATGTTATTGTTAGATAATGTTCAAAGACTGGTCAAACCAACCCTGGAAACATTTCACAGGTATTTTGCATTGTCCTTTCTTTTCCTTTCAGCATAGTGGAGTGGAGCTAATTCAGTCTCGCCTGTGCAGAAATTTAGACTGAAGCCATTTTGTCTGTTCCAGGTGCTGGCCAGCCTGCGTACCGTACGGAATAACTTTGCTGCATTAACCAATTTACAAGATCGGGCACCCAGCAAGTAAGAATCAATTTTTGGCCACTGAACTTTTAGCAGTGGTATTTTTAAAATATGAACTAAGAATAGCAATTAGATGTTATAGATTTTTTATGGCTTTACAAGTGTAAAACTTGTAATGGCTTTATTATCTGTTGAAACTGCCTATACTTGATAGATGAGACAGAAGCCCTCTTGCCTACTATCTGCTCTTGCATAGGTTTCCTTGCATAACCATCCAGTAATTTTTATTTATGCAATTTCTACAATTTTCAGTAAGTCATATGTCAAGGATAATTCAGAGATGATAATTCAGGCAATGAGTCTGAGTTGTGCAAATGAGCCAAAGTGAACAGATAGCTACACTGATTGCAAGATCTGGATCTAGAAGTCATCCAAGATAAAGATGTCTTACATATCCACAGTAGTTCATGATTATGAGTGACATATTATAAATATGATTTTCAATTCTGCTACAGTATCATAGTTAACATTAATGTTAGTTAAACTGGAAAATTTTGTAGTGAATCAATTTTTATCATTCTAAATTAGAATCAGGTAGCATTCATGGAACTGTGGCAGTTTCTCACCGAAGACTTAAGCTCATAATGACAAATGCCCACCATTGCATAAGCAATTCTATTAAAAGATATTTCCAGCCCCTTCGTTTGGAATATGCCCTATTCAGTTCAGATCCTGCCTGCTGTCATCTCTAAACAGCTATGTTAATCCAGCAAATTTTAACTTTCATCAATGAACAAAGGATTCCACTGAGCTGTTTGCCCTGAAGATTATTGTGAAGTGCATGCAAAAAAAAAAAAAAAAAGTTAAAACTAATTGTTGCTATAAGAATTTGTTCTGAGTGAGAGAACATGGGTAGTACAAGCCATATAAGAGTAATAATTATAGATAGAGACTGAACTTTAAGCTAGGTACATATTCAATTAAGGATTAAGCAGACTCGTAAATTAATTTCTAAATTTCCCTGCTGAAGATATATCCCAATCTGTAGAAAGATTTGAGCAACCATTGTGAATTCCTTTATGTGTTACAAGAAAATAGCTAAATGAACTTTTATGCCATTGTGCTTCAGTCACAAATAACTTCCCAAAGAAACATGTTTTCTTGTATTCTTCAACCATTTATGAGTTTAACAGCTTGATAAGTCTTTTTTTTTCTTTTCTTTTCAAACAGACGGTCACCAATGTGTAACCAACCATCTATTAACAAAGCAACTATAACAGGTAAGAGGAATTAGCTTAAATGCCTCTGTGAAACCAGCACAGGTTTCTAAATTCAGTATTTATTTTTAAAACTGTAAGTCCCACTGAAAACTGAATTTTATAATAATAATATTATTTCATATCCTGTTTTATTATGGAAAACTTGAGTCATGTGGTGACTCAATTTGGTGGCTTTTGATCTTATATAATGTTGGTTTTCTGATTTCTGTCTTACTATTCTGTTTTCAGTTTATTTCCGAAATCATAATTTTTTGACATGATGGTCCTTGCCCTTCGTTTTCTCTTATATACTAGTGTGTGACTGTGTCATTACCTTCATTAATAACTTTTTGTAGTAGAATGAATTGGTATAAGAAATATATTTTATCTTCCATCTGAGAACCAGAGTTCTGTAGCTATTCTGACAGAGTCTTGATATACACACTCCTAGGCATTTTGAAGGCTGACTTCTGATTTAATATGGTAGATATTTAACATTTATAGGCACATGAAATAAAAATTCTTTAAAAAATAGATACAGTTTATAGAAAAGTATTAATTTGAAAGGAGGACTGGCATTGTAAGTTATGTGAATACTTCAGAACATCTTACCCTGTAGAACTTATTTACTATTATAGCAACTTGTTCTCCATTATTTTTATGGGAACACATTTTCTGACCTCGTATTTTTTATATTTTGTCAATACATGTATTCTTGCTCATGTTGTTTTCCAAGTATCTCTATCTCTATGGCTTGATGGCAGAGTGAAAGGATTTGCTTTGCCTCTTAGTGAAAGAAAACAGGCAGTTACTACATAAGCAATTTATCATTTAAGCCAAAAACTTACTCTTTATAGAATTTTTAGTTCATTTTTTGTTTGCAGCTTTTTTTTGTTTTTGTTTGTTTTGGCTTGATTTTTGCTGATCCTCTGCTTGTCTTTTTAATTGTATGATAATAGGGTTTTAGATCAAGGAAGAACCAATATTTCAGCTTTCTTCAGGAGAACTGGCTTTGTCATGTTCAATAATCTGTTTCTGTAGCCTCTGGAATGTGGTAACATCATTAGGTTTTTCATCTATCCTTACCCAATATCCACAATAAAACATGCAGTCTTGGTAGTTCTGTATTACTCTTTTCTCCAATTCATCATGTAATCTGAGGATTTATGCAGAGGACTTACCAGGGAACAGAGAGTTAAATCTTCAAATCCATTCTATACACAGAAAATCATCCCTGGTTAATAGCATTCTGCAATCATACTTAAATTCACAGTAATTAAATAAACAGAGATGGGAGACAGATGAATAAATAGATCATGAAGCCATGAACTGCTTTTCTTACCTGTAGCCAATGTAATCTTAGTCCTTTGTTAATGTATTTCTTAAGAGATCATATTCGGTATTAGTTTCAAATTAATAGCAAGGAGACATCTCAGTTACTGACAGGTGCTGCTCCAATTTTTAATTGCAGAATCTGTCTCACCAATCAGCACAGTCATCTGAAAGTCTGTTTTCCTAATTGGAGACAGAGATTTTGAAAAGTAAGGTTCTCTCTTTGGTTCCAAGATGCTAACATCAGAAAGCCTACAACACAGTAAAGATCCTGCCACCAGAAGAAAAACGTATATCCAGAACAGAATATATGCATGCATGTGAACATCATGTGAGCCTACCTTGCATGCTCTCTCACAGTTTTTTGCCTAAGGCCAGCTTCTCTTCTCCAGCAAGAGAAACTGCTCAGACAGCAGGACCCAAGACACACTTTGCTGGAAGTTACTGTTGCTCTTTTTAAATTCCCCCCCAATCTGAAGGTTTCTATTCAGTTAGTTCCCAGAGTGCACTGTACTTGTCAGAAGCAATAAATCATCTGAGGTTTAAATGTTTGGAAAGAAGGTAGTGCAGTCAGTGGTGCAGCTAATCTAGAAAGTGATCCTGTGCCAAGAAATTTTAGGGAAGCAAGTAGAAGACAAAGAATAGCAAGGATAAATTAATCTAATTGAGTTTAATCTGAGTTATCAGAGATGATGCTTGAACTGCTGTGCCCAGATTATGCACTGAGCTGGGACCTATATGAACTGGATGCAAGTGGCTGAAAGATATCAATTATACAGTGAATATATTAAGCTACTAAAAAGCAGAGAAACAGCTACCATTCACTTTGACTACTGAATGGAGATTCAGGCTGGATCCTTTTTTGCCTGAATGAATTTTCCCACTCTTTGTCACAGACCATTTTAGATATTTCCATAGCAACAAATTTCATAGCCTAAGCAAAGAAGTATGCATAGATACTTTACTGAAGCATATAAAATCCTAGTAAAGCACACTGCACACTGGCACTATGCCAAGGAGAAAAATGTATTACAAACAATTCTTAGAATAATTAAACATGCTTTTGGATGCTGTTAACGCTTTTTGAATTGTTTTCTCAGGAATATTTGTAATGCAGATTGTGCAGTCTTTCCTGCTGAAAATATTCTTCTGGTCATACTGTTCTCAGAGTTCATGTCAGTGAGTATCCAGAGTAATGCACTAGACAGGACCCACCACATCACCCAGATGGCACAGATTGCAATCTCAGTGAGAAACAACCATGAGCCTTACAATCTGGGTGACTGGAAGATGCAGTTTTACTAAACAATGTCAATGCTGAAACAGAATTATACACATAAGGTGGAAGGTTTAACTTGCTAAGAGTTATCTTCCAGGAAAAGCAGAAGTGAAGCAAGGGCGACCATTGCAGATGGTATGGGGAAGATGAAAAGGGAAAGATAAAAATGGATTAAGTAAAGCAAAGTAACAGAAATAGCAAGAGAAAAATTCTCCCGCAGTGATCAGAAAGTATTTTCTGCTATTTTAAGAATTTGTCTCAAGGTAGAAACGTGGGAGAAAATGCAGTAGTGAAAAATAGGAAACTGGAGTTCATAGCTTCTTATTGGACTTGAGTTGTAGCCTTTACAGGCATTGCTCTGGATCTTAAATCCAGCAGAAATTGGTATCATTTTTATTGAATTGAGCTTCTTGCATGTTTTTCATAGTCTTTGTCTAACACAATTCATGGTTGGTACACATTAGCTACAGACTTCCCAGGGAAATTTATGGTTTTGAAGCATAATCTGCCAGTCTTTGGTATAGTTTTTATTTTATTACACTGGATATATAATAAATCATTATTTAATAATTACACCATTTTAATTAATTAAACAGTGTTTAGGCTGCTGTCTTGAAGTATCATGCACTTAAACATCTCTTGGACAAGTTAAGCATCTGTATTTAAACAGGCTGTAATCCTTCTGAATACATGCAGACGGACATATGGGAAAAAAGTAAAGGTTATAGATGAAAATAAAGATATTGTTACTGTATGGTGCTGGAAATGATCATTTTGATGTGTACATCTATATGTAACCTATCTCTCATTCATTCCAGTTCTACAACTGAAAGATTTTATTAAGTAATGACATGAAATTAAAATAGAGTAATTTATTCTTAAGAATTAAATGGAAGAAACAATTCTGTTAATGAGATGCCTCAAACTCTTCAAAAGTCTAGATGACAAAGTATTAAATATCCTGCTGACCAAACTGTTCTGTACAGTACTTCACTACACTGAGATGTCCTGAGTAATCTATATGCTTTTTGTTCTTTCCTGTATCTGTGATTCAGCAGGGGATAAAGCAAATGAGAGAACACATGAGTGGACAGAAAAAAAAAGCAAAAGATGCAAGCCTTACAGAGGTTAATTCATGCAATATTAGGATAATTCCCAGGTTTTGGAAACAGGGATATGGAACTTAATGGGTTCTAATGCCCATGAGAATAGAGGGTTAAAAAAAAAAACACCAATAGTTCAGATTTTCAACAAAAATCTCATAATGCAGTATCACTGTCATATTTCAAAATGCTGAAGAATTGATATTTCAGACCCAGGTTTGGACAGATATCCAGAATGTGTCCTACCTAGGTGATAACTGCAATCTATACATCACTTCTCTAGATACAGTCAGCAAGACTATAGTTATAATGTATATTATTATGAGAACTTCCCACTCACATCTAATTTGCCACTGAATATGTTTCTACCTCATTACAGAGGAGTATTCTACTGCACTGCAAAATGTTTGGCAGAGGTGAAATAAAATGGTCAGAAATTCTCACTGAATTGAGAAAAGAGTGCTTTTCTGTATTAGTGTAGAAACCTGACTCCCAACAGATGTGGTTTTGTTCTTTCTGCAGTAGGTGGAATGACATGTAAATGTTTTGTTCTTCACGGTTTTGCTTACACATGTGCCTCTATGTGTAATTAAAAAGAATTTACCTCACTTCTGAAAGCTATTTTACTTTCTGGCTCATACCACAAGCATTTATATTTTCAAATATGAATGTGTTTTGTAGCATTTTCACATATTTCAGCCTGAGGTAAGTTCTATCTATTACCTGAGAAATTAGCAGATGTTCATCTGCAGACTTAGAATATGAGTGTGACAGTATGTATCACCAGCAGCTGAATTCAGTAATTAGAACTGCTTTAGAGACACTGTAAGTCAATGGCACACACACGCCAGTTCATCTCAATTTGCTTCCTAGGGAAGTATTTTTGAAATTCTCATTTAGGATCAGAATTCTTAATGCCAGGCAGTTAAATGGCTCCTTTTCCTCCTGCAAATGGTTTTGAAATTTCTCCTTCTTTGAACTGTATGAAGAGAAGCTGTATTAATTACAAGGGTTTTTTTTTTTTTCTCATGTTGACTTAATTTTTTTTCTCATGTTGGCCACGTTGACACATTGGACTCAGTGGTGTGGATTTTATGCTATGCTATAAACACAGCGCTCTGTATCACTGTCAGTCAGATAAAGTAGTTTTCATTTTGTTATTTCTGTGCAACGCAATTTCTGCCTTACAAATAAAAATACTACAAACTCACATGCTAGGCTAATAATCTACTAATTCATAGTATACTGAAGAACTTGACACCAACAATAAGTGTTGTGGAATTTAGAGCTGATTTATCCTGTTTTCTGCATAGCTATTCATTTACCCACCATCTGTGCAATCCTACATAGTGTTCTGTCTAACATCCTTCAAGAACATAGCCATCTTCTTTAAAGAAATAATTTCCTTCCTCAAAAAAAAAGATTGGTGGTGTTATCTAGACTTTTGTGTAGCACAGAGCAATGCGTACAGGCAATTCTCTCAAGCTATTGCTTTCATTTCTGGCATTTCTGACAGCTTTAAGCAGCCACAGTGCAAGTTCAGAAGTTCAGTAGCCAATATAAATCTGCAGAGAAAATTGTTGAGAAAAATACTGGTGCATATTTTTTGTAAAAACAAAACAAAACATCTTAAAATAATTAGCATTTGTTTAAAATCCGCTATTTGGAATACTCAATATAAAATTGGTATTAATACATACAATAAGAATGTAATTGGGAAAAAGATCAGCAGTTATTGGCATGGAATGAAGTTTTAGAAGGCTGTGTGCATTTTTCATTAACCTGTTGTTACATAATATTGAAATTTATTTGTAGTCTGCATCCTTGTTCTCTTTTAGAGTTACATAAGGCACTGATCTCAGGGCTTTGCATACTGAAAGGACAGCAGAAACAGATGGCTGAGATTGGAAGGATTAAAATCCTCATGCTGTATACAGGCCCTTCTTGAAAAGATTTATTTTGCTTGTTATTATTTTATTATTTACCAGACTCCAATTCACATTTATGGGATTAAACTCTTACAACATGCATACATGTTGGTTTAAGGAGAAGTAGTGATACCATTGAAAATTTGGTGTGATGCATTATGAACTATAATATGAACTATAATATTTTTTTCTTGTGCCATTCAGATAACATAAAAAAGATTTATATTGGGCAGCCCAAGGTGAATACAACTTCAGCTTTCAGTGAAATCCCTCCGGCTCGTCCATGTAATTCAGTAACTAGAAATGCAGTTGTTTTCTGCTTTAGCTAGTTTCAACTACACAATTTCCAAAATAAGCTCACAATTTTCCAGCAAGTGTTATCATAAAGGATTGACAATAATCAGTTTCAGTGAAGCTGAAGCAAACCTCCTCGCTAGATTATTTTTTTTGATGATCAATAATACTTTGCATAAATAAAACAGATTTGGAAAACAGCAGTATTTACGTGAACTAGTCCTTTCAGTTAATCATTAAAGGCTTTATCTAAGTCATGATAGCTAAAAGGAGAGTTATCTCATTTATAGTTTTCTTATCCAGAATAATAACAAAATCTTACTGCTTTATGAGATATGGGGCACAAGCTACATTCAGACTGAAACTTATTAATATGTTTCCTGCACAGAGTAAACAGTGAATGTCAAGAAAAGCAAGGGATAGGAGAGACGAAAAGCCACTCTTCACTCAGGCTCATATAATCACTTTTCACCTAGGGGGTGAACTAGCAGCTTCTTCCACTGCACCTAGTTTTATTGGCTTTTTTAATGAGTAAATTCAGGCCATGTTTGCCTATTTTATATTTAAAAAAACAGTAACAACAAGCAGCCACCTAATCCTCTGTTTCACAGCTTGTGGAACTGTCATGTGCGATGTAAAGCTTAATATGTGTTATTTCAAAGGATAACTATTATGTTCTCTTTCCCTTTAAAGTGAGTAATATACACTCCCAGTTTAGCCCTTTTCATGCCAGGGTTTTTCTATGAAGGTTTGATGAGTACTTTCTCTATTTTCATCCACAGACCCTTAACTAACATTGCAGAAATTTTCTCACTGAGACAATAGTGCTGGTTCATTCAGTGGGTTTGTGAAACACTGGTTAACTTCCTTGAGGCAGAATAGAAGGAAAAGGATTGATATGGTTTTGGACAAAGCAAGTTGTTTATGTATCATCTCACATTCAAGGAAGTGAGTAAAATCAGCCTGCAATTTAGAATAATCTCTGTATTAGACTACTGCATTATACTATGAAAAATATTGGGAGAAATTTAGGCTTTGTATACTGTACGAGAAACCTAAGTTGTTATTAGCATCACCTACAATATGTTTAAGCAGTGTCTTCTCCTAGCCATACTAATTGCAAAATGTTGATTTTTGTTAGGTTATTTAAAAGGACTAATTAACATGTATTCTGAAAAGATATTCTTTCCCCCAACTTGTAAGCATTGCTCAGCACTTCAAGTTACTCCTTCTTACAGCTGTATTGTAGTATATCCTTGATTTTGAAATAGACTTACACATTGTAGAGTTGGAATATGTGATCAATCACTGCATTGAGAATTTGATGTGCAACACAACACTGATTTTCACTTTTTACCTTTAACTTGGTCTCATATTTTGCTGCATCAGTGAATGTTAATATATCATCATTTCATCAAAACAGTCTATCTTACTGGAAAGATAGACAGGATAACAAACTTTGTTTGCTTCCTCTTTTCAGCCCAGCTGTGTAACTTACAGTCACTCTTAGTTGAGAAATGTGTGTGACTCCAGACTGCATTTACAGTATTGATAATAATAACGCAACTGCAGGAGTGAAAAGTAGATTGTTCTGTAGGATTAGGTAAGAAGAATTACGAAGAAAGACAGGACTTTTGTTTATGTCATTATTCTCATTCCTGTTGCAAATGCAGCCCATCAGTGATGAATATAGAAAATAAAACTGTAGATATGATTTCAGTTATGGCTTCTGGGTGTACTCTAAGCGCATCTTCATTTCACAATTTCTCCATCTTCTGGCATCAGTGATCAGTGGTACCTTGTCTTCTGTCCAACTGAAAAGACAGATCTGAAAGTAGATCTCTCCTCCACTGACAAGTTACTGAGAAACTGGTTCCATAAAGCCTATTCACTTTCTTGAGTATCCATTTAGAAATCAGGGGCTACACTGGGACTACCCATTAAAGACTGTAAGTTCTGCTTTTAATATAGGCTGGCTTCTGAGTACTGAGCCTGATGAACGCTATGAATCAGCACACACAGCAGCCAGGGTCAGAGAACACCAGAGAGAAGCAAGAATAGCAGCTCTTCTGTTATGGACTATGAAGTTCTGCAGCCTTTGCCAATACGCAGAAAAACTGAATGAATAAGGTTTAGGACCTGGGCCTGCTTAACATGTCTTCCAGGAAAGAGCTCATTACCAGACTACAGGCTCACCTCATTTTCACTCATTCCTATTGGACCTCATGCATTTTGCATTACATTCTGCAAAATGAGTCATCTTCAGCTGGAGGGAATAATTCCAAGTTTGGTGGTACTTGTGCCAACTGCGCTTAATCAAGAACTGAAATTAAAAAAAAAAAAAAAAAAAATTAAGAATGATCAATACCTAAAACTCAGACTTCTGATCACAAGCGAGTTGACATAATGTCTTTGAGCATGAGGCTTTTCCTATGTTAGGTGACTCATCTCAGAA